TAAAAACATGAAAAGATTTGACAAATAAGTGTTGACAACGAGTTGGCGGTGCACATGCTTTGCAAACCCAGCAATCGACCAAAATCTGCATCACAGTTTACGAAAGGATTTCGATTTTGTTGCGCGATTTTGATTGGACTATGCACAGACTCGTTAGTCCACCCAAAATGTAATTCAATAATACCAGCCTAGTTCGGCAAGGGTGGAAACTGGACTTTTATAGTCAGTTAACTCTCTTGCCTCGGGAAGATGTGTGTTTACAGACGACAACATGGTTCTCGTGCAGTGGCTGCATTTCTGCAAGGACACGCTGTTGACCCTTTGTCTTGCCCGCTATGAGTCCAGATTTGAATATGTTGGAAACATCTTTGGGACATCTTTGGGCGTCGGTTGCAGGCAATGGATCCACCAGTACTGAATATGGCAGTTTCAGAGGCAGCATTGCATCGAGAGCGGCAGCTGTTATCCCGTGATAGTACAAGAAGTCTCACTGGGGGGTGGTGGGGTTGATAAGAAAGGGAGAATCTGTCATCCAGGCACAGGACGGTTACACTCGCTACTAATTTTCAGGATTTGATTATTTTTGTAAGATAACAATGAACGTTTCAGGACAGTAATTATCGTTCATACCTAATCATGGAACTTCCCAGATCCATAGTTTTCGTGATTATCGATTTTGCCCAATTACAGAACTATCGCAGCTTTGTTATTATTGCAATTAAAATATTGAACATATGCATCATTCTCAGTGTTTTCATTGGTAAAGGGTCTCAGCTTACACAAGACATTTAATTCTCCAACATAGCTCAGAATTGACGCGAATGATACCTTGTTGTTGGATAGATAATATTGCAAAACCAGGGGTGCTTAATTAATTTCCAGGTGTTTATTTAGGTCAGGTTTTTCTTTAGGTCTTCCAGCCTTTGGGTGTAGCTCCATGGCTTCCTTAAGCTTATCGAAGAGTTTACTTATCTGTGTCTACAATTCCAATATCCCACATACGTCGACATCACAGAGTAAGCCCTCAAGGATTGTCTGCTTCTGTGGCTGCTTGTACTGCTTCGGACTTGTGCCATATTTAGAGCTCGCCTGGGACACCTTGCCGCAGTGGAACATGAATACCCCACTCAGACACAGTATACTGACTCCGAGCCGACCAGTCCTTGTTTTAGCCCCTTAATGCCAAGCAGCAGGCAGGGTAACAACAAGTACTATCGTTTAACATCTTTTGGTATGACGCGGCCGGGGATCGAAGCCCGGACCTTCCGCTCTCCGGGCGGACGCTGTACCACTAGACCACGGGGGCGGTCATGTAACACTTTAAATAAACAAACCTGTACCTCTGAAATTCGAGATCAACACGAAATCAGTTTTAAATGTTCAAGCCAATGTTGGAAAACGGAGTTTTACCTTGAAGCAATTTTAAGCCGATGTAACACGCAACAATGGATATGAACACACATATACTTCTGAAAATAGATGTGTGCATGGTAATAACAAGTACCATCTTTAAACGTATTTCGGTATGATGCGTCCGGGGATCGAACCACCGACCTTCCGCTCTCTGGGCAAACGCTCTATCCACTACACCAGTCGACATGTGATCTACGAGACAACTCAGGATAACTGCAGGCAAACCACCCTCGTTGTTCTAGTCTGGCTTGTTGTTACACAATTACCAGCGCTCTACCCCACATCCCACACCCCTCACCCCGACCCCCACACACCCGAAAAACATATAACTTCAGGTATGGGTGGCTCGTCTGTATTCATCTTCCCGAGGCAAGGGAGTTAACTGTCTCTGAAAGTCCAGTTCCCACCCTTGCCGACCTAGGTTGAAATTTCTGGGCTCGATCTTAGCGCCACCAGTGTATATTACGAGTTATGTCCCTTCTATATCCCTCCTATTGACCAATAAGATGCCACCTATCATAACACTTGCATTTGCTCCAAACAAAATGTCGGCGCCCAGTCAAGACGATCACATGGATGAGGGGTCACGGGGGGTCCAGTCGTCTAAGGCGCTGCGATTCGCTGTGCAGAGTTGCGTCCCTTGGGCACGCCAGAAACCTATGATTATGGGTTCGAATCCCGGTTAACCCCGATTATATTTCTAGGTTTGTCAGCACCATACCCGTGCTCGTGGGTTTCACCGAAGTGGTAAACGTCTGAGACCTGCATCACTTCGGGCTTTCCTCCCACATTAAGCTGACACGCCGTGATATAATGGAACACTGTTAAAAGCGGCGTTAAACCCAACTCACTCACTCACACTAATGGATGATCAAGATATATATTGTAATACAAAAGGTCTTACCTCTTAAAAAGGGCATCAAATCGCGTGAGCACCTTGATTAAAAACGTGAAAAGATTTAGAAAAGATCTGTCGACGCCCACTTGACGGCACACATCCTTACAAATCCTGCAGTCGACCGACATCTGCAGATTGAAATCCATGTTGTTTACGAACTGGATGTTGATTTCGTCATGCGATTTTGATTGGGCTATGCATAGACTCGTTAGTCCAGCCACAATATAACTCTATAATTCCAGCTAAGTTCGTTAAGGGTGGAAACTGGATTTCATGTGTCAGTTTACTCCCTTGCCTCGGGATTTGGCTGGTTTGTTGTTTAACGCCGCTCTCAGCAATATTCCAGCTATATGACGGCGGTCTGTAAATAATCGAGTCTGGACCAGACAATCCAGTGATTAATATCATGAGCATCGATCCACGCAATTGGGATCGATGACATGCATCAACCAAGTCAGCGACCCTGACCCCTCGATCCCGTTACTCGCCTCTTACGACAAGCATAGTCGCCTTTTACGGCAAGCATAGTCGCCTTTTACGGCAAGCATAGTCACCTCTTGCCTCGTGAAGATGGCCGGTATAACACCGGTGTTCGACGTACTGACTGGAACCACTCATCACGTCACACGCCCCGATTATGTCACCTGGTTTGCCATCACAGTCGCTCACTGGCCCCACTCTGGTTGGTAATGTCAACCATGTTCGTGAATTCGGACTTCGATCAGACATTACGCTGGCGCGTTGTGATATAAATAAAACTCTGATCAAAGCGGCGTAAAACCCAACTCAATCAATCCCGTTTTATTCATAAAGACCGTTCGGGTCACAGGTTACACGGTGATATTGAATCTTATCGTTAGCAAATAGCAAAGTCAAGCCTACCCTTGGGGGTTAACCGTCTCGAATCAATACTTTACAAGGGCTGATTAGAAGACCCCCGTACATGTAGGTACAGTAGGATATTTTCTTATATATTGTATACATAGCTTTAAGGGCACTTACCTTGTCATTTGGACAAGTTATTGTGATTGATCAAACACATATGTAAGTTACAAGAGGAAATATTACGTTTGTGCGATGGGTTATATAATTTTGTGTTGGTCAACTTTCTCGTCGGAGCGTAAGGTAGGTTACATCACATTTTAACCGTATCGTGAACCTCCTGTAAGAGTTTATACAACGGGCGTATATATTGTTTTTCAAATGAAGGAGCGGTGTGGAGAAAGTGTACACATTTCACGCTGAAAGCTCGTTTTACCACACAAGTACAATACATGAAGTCCATTCAAGGCGACCCCTGCTGTGATATTGCTGGAAACGTTAAATTAAACTTAAATAAATAAATAGTGTAAAATGGCTTACGACTCTACTCACACAATCACTATTTCGACCCCTGAAGATCCGTGTTAGACTTGATCTTCAGCAACCCATGCTTTTCTTAAGAGTTGTCTAACGGGATCGGGTGGTCAGGCTCGCTGACTTGGTTGATGCATGTCATCGTATCCCAAGTGCGTGAATCGATGCTCATGATGTCAATCACTGGTTTGCCTGGTCCATACTCGATTATTTACAGACCGCCGTCATATAGCTGGAATATTGCCGAGTGTGACATTAAACAACAAACAAACAAACCTAGTGTACAGTACATACAATCTGTGCACTCAAAAGAACCCACTCATCCGACGGTAGATGATCATCACGTCTGGTTGTTGCTTGTCAAACAGGTACATGAATATATAACGAGGCATATAAATATTGCTGAGTGCGGCAATAACCAAACACACCAACACACACACACACACACACACACACACACACACACACACACACACACACACACACACACACACACACACACACACACACACACACACACACACAAAGACACACGCAAACACCCACACATTCACACGCATACCCACACAGACACAGAAACACACACGTGCACACGTACACACACAGACCCCCACACATTCACACACAGAAACGCACACGTACACACACACAGAGACACCCACACATTCACACACAGACACACACAGAAACATACAGAAACACACACAGATACACAAACACACACAGACACCCACACTTACACACACAAACACATACACACACATTAATCTATGACACATTTACCTACCTTTGTAAAATTCTAATCGCATTTATTTGTCTGTAAATCTGAAACGTACGGCTACTGTACAATGAAGTATCGACTACTGTCATTACCAAGAAACCCGGCTTCTGTCAGATCAGCACATCTACGCTGTATATGACCTGTAACGCCTCAGACAGCTATGTGTTACATGTGGGTGATAAGCATTTTCATCCAATAAAAACGGGCTATATATCATTTTATTACGCAACACGTCATTAACATCTTCGATGATATTCAAACATGTGGTCATTCTTACACTATAAAACTGCCAATTGTGAAATACCGTGTAGTTTTAGCAGATGAATCACACAGTGACGTAGATTCAAGTGTTGTTGCGTTTTATAGATGAAGTATTTTCCCCGTGTTCTTCAAACATCACGTGCAGGAATCGTACTCCTAATATACATATGTTTTACTTTACTATTTTATCACGATTGTTTTTCAAACAACGATACCTGTATGGAGTTAAACTGCTTACTAATGTACTCATGCATGTGTTGTATCGACTGATTTTCGTTTTGTTGTGATGGATCTGAATGTATATTTTTTATTTCTTACAGTCGACGACGAATGTCATCAGGAGTACCGTTATACTGATGCAGTAACACAGAATGACGTTTAATGTCGTGAATATTGCATCATCCTTCACGCAATCACAAGCTCTGCAACAGTGCCATCGATTAAAACTCATTCACTTTTAATGACATTGTTCATAGTAAAGGAAACGAACATCCATTAAGAGAAAACTTCTGTCTGGAAATATGTGTTCAAATGTTCTGAAAGTCCCATTAAGCATGGGTATGGGAGTTTAAAGTGCCGAAGAGGCAGTCTCTTGAGTGTTAAGACAAAGCGACGAGCCCGACCGTGACGAAGTGGCTGTTATATATTCTGTGAATGACACAAGAGGATATCATTATGATTCGAGGTTATTCAGGCTACCGCCAATGAAGCTCCGCCGTTAAATGATGTATTTACTGCGTGACTGTGAACCTCACTGCTGAACACGCCGACAGCGCTCAGCCGAGAGAGAGAGAGGGCGGCTGCGATTCGTTGCCAGTTGATTATTCAAAGGAAACGCGCGACGGATAAAGCCAGTTGATTAAAGTCGTCAACGTTCCCTGTCGTTGCTGTCGTTCACTCACAATCATGAATGAGGTGGTCAGAGAAAGCTGATTTTCTGTATCGGATTACCATTGTAAAACATCAGCGATGCTCCAAGTGAGAGGTGTTTTGTCCTGGGGTTTGCTCTTCGCGTGTATGTTTACATCAGGGGAGGGGGCAGTGACGTCGTGTCGGGACAGGTATGGGGTTCTCCCCCTCCCCACCTTCAAGGTGTGGTCGTGTACGATGTGTTTCTCCTACCTATTCAGAGATCAGTTTGAGTTAAGGGCGAATCTCCCTAAACCCGAACTTGTGGCTGTGAATGGCTCGCGTTACCAGTCCGGCACGACGTTCTTACCTGACATAGAAAACAACACCGTGGTTGATGTCATATGTGGGGCCCTGAATGCCGAGGACTGTGAACGATGGACCTCTTGTTGCCATGCCGCCCTCAAGTGCTGTCACCGCCAGAACCGTCTCCCCCCTCCCGACCCCCAGGGACAATACTGTCCCCGCACCTGGGACGGCTTCGGGTGTTTTGATGACACCCCCGCTGGACAAAAGACCAACATTAAGTGTCCTGCCTACATCGAACACAGCAACCCGAGAAGTAAGTTTTGAATTAGTTTTTATTATTATATTTTATTACCATTGACCCTGACTCGTCATATTTTCATAACGCGAGGGTGGTATGCTCAGAAACCAATGGATTAGTGTTCGGTATCACATCAGATGAAAGTATGAAGTGTCCTATATAGTTTTTGTATTCACCGATATGGATTCTAAAACAGAAGCGACTTCATGTTGTGTATGTGGAGATTCAAGTTAATATAAGATTCCTAAGAGCTGTAATCTTTTTGAGCGATTTTTTAAGGTGTAAATAAGTTACCCTTTACATAGCAAGCACACTTGAAATTCGTTATATGTCACCAATCACGTTGGGAATATAAATAAATATAAGGATTAACCTCCTACATAAGGGTAGTTATTTACGTGTTTGTAAACACATCTAGATAGTAAATCACGTGTTCTATATCTAGTACATTTACCCTGACATTTTCTGTGCGTCGTTGTAAACAACACATTTCGTAACCTACCAACCTCACATTGGAAACAAACACAGACCTAGCAAACAAACGCTTTATCTACAAGGGTGCACAGATGCAGTCACCGCAGTACGAAACTAGATGCGGTAGCAGAATGAAAGAGTTGGTCAATGATTTAACAACAGTTAAACAGACTTGGTCCGGCGCGCCGACCGCAGACCAACACCTCGTTCACACGCAGCTAACGACTGAGCCCCTCCCTGTCAAACTGGAACTAGGTGCGATATTTACTGCCTGATAAGACTTAAGGAATGTTTGCCTATCACAATGACATATTTATCGGTAATACCAACGAGTGGGGCGACCGCCGGACAAGGGGTGGGGATGACGAAACATTGGGGGTGGGGGGAGGGAGGGAGGGGGTGCTCTCTGGTGGTGAGGATGCAGGATGAAAAAATATATTTAGCATCATATATACATGTTATTATTATGCCATTATACTCCACATTTATATACGTATACCACAGATATCAAGGTACTAGCATCTGCTCAAATGCGGTTTTATTTGTTCCGACCAGTGGATCCGTTTGCATTCCAGTTACCATTCTCAACTCCCTGTGGAGTATACAACCTGAGCTACCCAGGGGCGCTAGAGGGTTTTTACATCCACCTGACATACCGGGTACCCATTCCCTGCTGGGTGAACAGAGGCACATTTGAACTAAGTCACTTGCCAGAGTGACAGCACAAGCAAGTTGTGACACTTGTGTTTTTGGTGTCTCTACGTATTCGTATTTCCACCATCTGGTCATCTACCATCGGATGAGTGGGTTCTTTTGAGTACACAGATGTACTGTACACTAGGTAGATAGGCTATTTGGTGATGTATTTAATACGGGTATAAAAGTTGTGTTTTGGACCTTAATTTGCAGAGTTTCTGTTTTCAGCCAAGTGACGTTTTGATAACGTTTGTAATTTGTTGGTCAAATCCAATTTCAAGTGTATACTTTCTTTTGCCCGTCAGTTAATATCGTTAAGGGGGAGGTCATGGTGGGGTGACGAAAACTAGAATTTAGCTGGGGTAGTCAAGGCAGAGTGGAGTTACGTCCCTTAGGCGTGCCAGAATCCTATGATCGTGAACTCGATGTTTCTATTTCTATGTTTGTCAACGCCATACCCGTGCTCGTGGCGTTTTACCAAGTTAATAAATGTCTGAAACCTGCGTCACAATAGGCCCGTCTACCGCTGTCTTAGCTGACCTACTCCACTGTTCAAAGTGGTGTTTACTGAGACCAACACAATCACTCACAAAATTCACTCTCCCTTCATCATTTCTCTTAAACTCACTTATTCACAGGGGCGGTCGGGTAGCCAAGTGGTTAACGCGTACGCTCGTCACGCCGAAGACCCGGGTTCGATTTCAGACATAGGTACAATGTGCGAAGCCCATTTCTGGTGTCCCCCGCCGTGATATTGCTGGAATATTGTTAAAAGCGGCGTAAAACCATACTCACTCACTTATTCACAGTAATGTGTTTAACTCATTAAATTACCTCTGATCATGTTTCAATGCAAGCTGCTATATATTGAACGTCAAGTTATTGTTATTTTTTATACTTTTTTTCACATTAATGCTCATCTTTCAACAACACTATTAATATACCGTGAAGAAATATACCTAATAAAAGACCATATGATCTAAGAATAAACATTCGTCGTATTGACCGTCATAGCAGGAGGTCGAATTCAAACATTTTCGGGAAATAACCAACAATATTAAACAGGAAATCATGTTGTTAGTTTGTGCACGCATATGTACATTGTATAGGACATGAATACATGATAACCTCCAGGCAACCCCAATACTGTTGTACAAAACAATTAAAACGAGAGAAAGACAATCATCTAACCAGTTCCACAAGGCAGCAGCTTTACATGTTTGAACAGAAGGCGATACTGTTTGTAGTTAACAGGTGTTTCACCGGCGTCGTGATTTTGTAGATAACGATGAAAATTATACTTCGTAGTTGAAACGCCATTTTAACTCATGGTGTGCATTTGTCGCCATTTTGTTGAAAAAGCAACGTAGAAGCTCCAATTGTCTGCGTTCATCAGTCACACGAAGAGATGGTATACTGTGATATAGGTGAATTACTCTTCATGCAAAAACCGAAAGGTAGCTCACTCACGCACTCACTCACTCACGCACTCACTCACTCACGCACTCACTCACTCAAATATTAAATCAGCATTCGCGTCGGAAAAGCATACTTATTGATTAAGCATTATATAGTTATTTCTTTTTTTGTTGTTGAGAGCGAGAGTGGGAAATAGAGAGAGGGAGGCACGGAGAGAGAGAGAGAGAGAGAGAGAGTAGGGAAGAGGAGGAGAGGGAAGGAGATAAGGAGAGGGGCGAAGGAGGGAAGGGGAGAGAGAGGGGGGGGGGGGGGGGGGGGGGCTACACGACCACCCTGTCTGAAAACAGTTCACTGATCAAAAAAGGTTTATTAAACGAATGATGCAGGAATTTGCTGCTTATCGCAATATGGTAATCATGTGGTCTGTCTCGCAGGCTGGGTTGGTTGCTTATCGTGCCCCGACGGGAAGGTCGTTGCTCATTGTCTCAACAGCTGGTTTGCGTGGTCCAGAAACGATTTACAAACCGCCATGACATGTTGGGAATATTGCTTAGTGCAGTTTAAAACCAAAACCAAAACTGCATTCACATTCTCCGATATCCATCTTCCCGAGGTAAGAGGGTTAACTGACTATAAAAGTCCAGTTTCCATCCTTGCCGAACTAGGCTGGTATTATGGAGTTATATTTTGGCTGGACTAACGAGCCTATGCATAGTCCAATCAAAATCGCGCACCGAAATCGAAATCCGGTTCGTAAACTGTCATGCAGATATCGGTCGATTGCTGGATTTGCACAGCATGTTCACCGCCAACTCGTCGTCAACAGATATTTTCTAAATCTTTTCATGTTTTTAATCAAGGTGCTCACGTGATTTGATGCAGTTCGCGATATAAAACCCGTTTTCTCACAATATAGATCTTGATTGTCCATCAGATCGTTCTGACCGTGCGCCGCCATTTTGTTTGAAGCAAATGCAAGTGATACGAGAGGTGGAATCTGATTGGTCCATAGGAGAGGCATAGAAGGGATTTAACTCGTAACAGCCACTGGTGGTGCTACGATCGAGCCCAGGAATTCCAGTCTAGTTCGGCAAGGGTGGAAACTGGACTTTTAAAGTCAGTTAACTCTCTTGCCTCGGGAAGATGCCGACATCGAGACCTTGTACCCACTTGCACCTTCCTGTGTGTTGACGTGAGACGTGGGTGCCAGTGCAAAACCTTAAATCATTCCTCCCCGGTCACAGGTCTCGAGGCAGTAGAATAAGGATGACACTCTTCCACTGACACGATAAACTGAGTCTTCATCTCTTGCCCATCAGATAAGTATCTACCATGATGTATTGCTCCTCGTTGTGCGATGAGTGAGTCACCCAGATCATCAATCGCGACACATTCCATCATATAGACAAGACTCAAATCAACGGAATGGGGAAGATTAATAGAAAAACCGTTATCAGGAACAAATCACTATCTGTGTGTTTTTCTCAAAACATTTCACATCTGACACATCACTGACTGGAATGCATTATATTTTTTATCTGGGATGGGATTTTGAAAAGCTCTATTTCGCGAAATTAACTCATGACAGTTATTTCATGAGACGCTTGGTCAACCTGGACACATTATTGTCCGCTGATTTACAACAGACGAGCCCCGACTGGGCTTTATTCATTAGTAGCTTGTGCATCTTTCTGGGGAACAGCAAAAAATTCTCACAACGATCCATGCCACTACCTAAGTTCTCGGTTAACAAGGCAAGTCTCCGCTTTGGCCTGCGTAGCGATACTGTCTGCCTATGTGGATAAACATGTGAATGCTCTGATGACATAACTGTGATTGCAGATTTTACTCTCTCTCTCTCTCTCTCTCTCTCTCTCTCTCTCTCTCTGCACATGCCTCTCACTATCTCTTTATCTTCTCTGTCTCTCTTCTCTATTTGTCTCTCTTTCTATTCTCTTCTCTCTGCGTTTCTCTCACACCCTCTCTCTCACTCACTCTCTCTGTCTCTCCATGTCTCTGTTTCTCTCTTCTCTGCAGCTGTCTCTCTTTTCCCCATCTCGCTCTGTCTCTCTCTGTGTCTCTGTCTCTCTCTCTCTCTCCTATACCTTGTTGTGTGTTTCCATTGTGTATGGACGCGGAGGGATAGGATGAGCGGAAACAACAGTTTTAAATTGACAGTAAGTCAATCAGTCACACCAAGATCACCTGCGATGTTTATTGGTTCTCTGGCGTATTGTAACAGTTGCTGCCGTTACGCCCATACTTTATCATAGACCTCTTTATAGAATCAGGCCCCGGGGCAAGCAATAACCTGAGCTTTCACCTCATACTGGATATTTGTCATTGAATAACGGTGTAATATAGTATATTGGATATTTGTCATTGAATAACGGTGTTATATAGTATATTGGATATTTGTCATTGAA